CAATAGCTGTAATTAGTAGCCGGAGGATGAATAAACGACCATGAAGAAGGAGAGAACACACTATTGCTGCTACGAATGGAGGTAGCAGACAGTATCCAATAACACACAACGATTGGAAAAATGATCTAAAATTCAAAAGTTTTGAAAATTTGCTTTAAACATCTGTGACAATAAAAGCAATCGAGAACACAGCAACATCACAGATAATATGTAAACACTTTCAAAAGCAGCCATACGAACTGTGCACTGAATCTGCGAGCTGTGGAATAGCAAAAAACATTCAGCACCTGTGCTGCGAGAATACGTCCTGAAGCTTACAAGAAATCAACAGTCAACTCACATCTGGCCTCCCAGCAATTTAATGTTTATGGTGACAATCACTGAGCCGAAAAATGTGATGGCAAACACTTGTGTAAACTGTGGAGCAGATCCATCAGGGGCATTATGTTGAAGAAGGCTAAATGAGCTAACTTATTGTAAACTTAAGTAATCATTAACGCTTAGGTAGGTGCTTGGGTAGGCTTAGAATTTTTCTTTTCAGCAAAGCAAAAACTGAGGTGATAAGGATACTGGGGCCACTTTCGGCTAGCCGAAAAATTGACTATTCGGAGAACATACTGAAAGGACTACATATGATATGATACCATTTAGAAGTGTAGCAGATTCGGAAAATTACTAATTCTTCGCTTGAGAAATATTGACAGTATTGATAAGCACACGCTCCTCCTAGCATATTCTCCTTTTCCATTACTTCGCGAGCTAGGAGGGCGACCCAGTACATTGGAAGTTATGACAGAGTGCGTTCATACTTCCTGATTTGCCCGTTCTGATGGTGCCTGCGCAATCAGAATGCCCAAATTGCGAAGTACGAAGGCAGTCAGACAGAACATAAGATAAAAGAAAAGTGGAATCAAAGCCGAAAACACTCACAGTGAGAGACCGACACATATAAAAAGTGGTCCCCACAAATCCCAATCCTTCAATAGCTGTTGCCGATCAGATTTTGGGAAAATAACGTGACCGAATTTCATGCCAACTGTTCGCAGGTCACGGCTCTAGAAAGGAAAAAAAACTTCAAATGTTCAACATTCTAAAAATTCAACACGATTCAGAATAAAACTTGAAGCTAAAACTACTTTCGAACCACCCCATAGCTGTTGCAAAAAAATTTTGCAATAAATATTTCGGAGTCTCCTGTCGTATCAAAATATTTGTATTAAGATAAGACTTAGAATAGAACAATTCTGAAAATTCTGGAGGATTTCAATCACAGCAGGTGAAGTCTGTTTTTTTAATGAAGCAAAGTATAAAGCGTAAGTATAAAGTGGATGAAGTTTTGATCGATTACACACGTACCAGAGTCCTAGTCAGGTTAAAACTGATGGTGAGGTATAACATTGCCATACCTCACTTTTACCTCTGACTGTGAAACGGATCACTTCTGGAATGTTTAGCTAGCGGCGATTATAAGCTCAAATAGGACAATGAAATACATACGAAGAAACAAGACGCTGCATGTATACTTGCCACGTTGCCTAGTGGTTTACTTATCCACACGTCTTGCTTGCCGTCTCCACGTGAGCGGTCGGTATACTCGTGTTTCGGAATATCGCCAAGTTTCTATGACCTTTTACATGTCAACTGGGCATCCCAGCCGACTGATGCAGGCGAGTGCGACAAATTACTAGGTTCCGACATTTTCGGTTCCGGCTATATGCTTCTTGTAGTTTTGTGAATGCAGTCCATTGTCAAAATCATCGACAAAAAGTGGGTTCAGGATTGCTTGACCTGCTAACAATCTGTCGAGAAAATAAACGCCTCTCTCCCTTTCACCTTTTTTATCATTTCCAGTAATTGCAGTGGACTTTTCTCTTAACCACTTACTTTTCCTGCTTATATACCAGTGCTCTTAACCTACTGTTGTTTCATGACTCTTTGATAGCGCGTCTTATGGATGCATTGGAAATAAATAAATGAATCTGCATATCTTAGAGATGGAGAGGGCGTGACTGCTTTGAACAAATTGAATCGGGGGATATTCTCATTTGAGACGATCGTTCTGTCTTGTGATGGAGGGATGATTTCAAGTGGGCCAAAACCAGAATATTCTATCAAAAGCGCAGTAGCCACCATTTAAACCAAATCTCCAGCCACGCCCTCCCTACCGCCAGGACTTGGAGTGTACTTGGTAATGCAGACCACCACAAGAGAAACCCGTAATAACGAGGTATTCTCATGAGGTTTGCTACTGGAGAGGGGTAGTGGCCGCTGCTGGAGAACATTTAATTAACAAAGACATAAGAGCAACAACGTGACTCTTTAGACAAAATATCAAAAGAAGTATGTTGTTCTCTACCGCTTACAAAGCAGTCCAGAGCTCGAGAAAAAACTCAGTTTGCAAACAAAAAAAAACTGGAAAGAGGAGTAGATGAAAGGCAGACTTACAACGGTGTCCCACACAGGTTCGTCCAGAGTATCCAAATCACCATCCAAGCTGACCTCCTGCAAGGGGCGTGCTCTCGACGGATCTCTCATGCCATCTATATTCCCAGAAAGCTCAGCCGGAGGATTTCGATGAGCATGTTCTTTTGCGGCGATTTCTTTCTCCAACTGAAAAGGTTAGAAATCCACTTGAGGAAGCATAATGGTGACCAGGAACTGGCAAAGTAGACTTACTATATCAATATCAACAGCCGCACTGTTGAAATTCGCCATTGAATAGAACCTAACCTGGAAATTTGTTGATTGTAACACGTTTGGACAGACGACATGTACCGTTCATTATAAAGAGTTATTGGCGAAACGACAGCAAAAATAACAACAAAGTCTGTCAAAAGGCAGTTGCGCTTATGGCTTTGGAATGCAAAAAGAAACAAAACTGCAAGAAAGAGAAAAAAACGAAGTGGAAAGCCAGACTTCACTAGATGAAACAACTATCGACAAAAAGACCCTGATTGAAATTAGTCAGGATGCAGTAAAGTACGACTTGAACAACAGGAACTGGAAATGAATACAACTACCCCAAAGACCTTTCGTAAGGAATCAAAGTCATTAATCGTCATCTCGAAATCTGCGCCCGATCATCAGCCCACGAACAACTCTTGAACGTGGCGAGGATCGGCGAAGAGATTCGTTTCAAGACCCTAGCTGTTCACGGCGGGAAGGAGTAGAATTTGAACCAGCTCATGACGTCATTCTACGAAGTCCTCCTAATTTTTCAATGTAGAAACTGTCATGGCGGCGAACAACATTTCGTGACGTACTTACTTTCTGGAGTAAATTTACTCTCTTTGTCACCTATGAGTGCGCGCGTTTGAAGTTTCGATTTTTCTACACGTTTTGGTTGCTAAGCCTGAGTCCTGCCTGTGTCTTTGTCTTTTCTTCTGCCTTTTTTTTCAAGGAGGACTTCTGATTTTCTCAAATGAAGGAACGATGTTCGGCTTATAGGAAACCCTCTACTCTTGATTGATTTACCTTCCCAATGGTCTCTCATTGTCAAGTCCGCCGTATTGATCGTAGCAAATCTTCCTAAATAAATCCTTCTTCTAATGAAGGTCAATTACCTGTTCTATTTCAGGATGCAGTTCGATTCGGGCTCTTCACGGATCATTCGGCATGGAATCAGAAGCAATGTATCACGAATTAAGGTAACAGTTGTTTTGAAGGATCACAAACTGAAACCGCTACCACGTCTTGGAACCAAGGTACATCGGCAGGGTGTGCTATGTGTGTAGTACGACCCCTACCTCAAGAGGAGGTCGTATTGCCACTGATTTGCTTCCGCAACCCACCGGTAGACCCCCAACACATTGCCTCCTAATCAAATAATCCCTAAATTTTCCTTTCGTGAGGGGGAAGAGGGGGTACAGAGCGCCCTTAAAACGGGAACAATCGAAACAATCTTTCAGCACTGTGTAGAACACCTTTCCTCCTCATCGGTTACAGGGCCCTTGTCAACCAACATGTGCTCTCACTCTAGGGTCCAGGGGTATTCTATTGTGACATCTACTAGCCCAGTAGTTGAAGGGGAAGGTAAACGAGGAGGGAACAGAGAAGGAAGGAAGGAAAGGAAGGAAGGAGGAAGAAAAAAAGGAAAGAGAAGAGAGGCTCCGCGGTTGACAAGTGCTCTGAGACGGACCTCAGCAGTGGTGGCACAGGTCTGTTTCTAATCATCGCCTCTGATCTTGAGAGATGAAGACGTATTGTAACCTCTTGTTCGCCTGGGTATGACAGGGAGGGGCTGGGTTTGGGGCGGCGCCAGCCCGTTCTCTACTAGTTATGGTCGCCTGTCAGTTTCCACGCAAGCCCTGGTTGGGTAAAAAACAGGACCAATCGTTTCGAGAAACGCGTTAAATTTGATCCGGAATTCCGAGCAGTCACTATTTCTTAGTGAGGCTGTTTCAAGAACCATGGTGTTTTTGAACACGACGAAAATCTGGGCAGGAAGGCTCTAGGGAGAGTCCTCTCAAGCACACCATCGTCCATCGTTGACTTTCGTGTCGGGGGGGAAGGACAGTAGGTCGAAGTGCTAACTGGAACGAGAATATATCTGATAAACTTTAGAAGTGATTACGGATCCATCTGCATATGTGCTGTGGCCCTCTAAACGAAGTGTATCAAACTGCCTATCTATGCAGACATGAGGCCAATCCCATTGCTGTTTAACTACGGTGCCACAGTGAAAGCAGCTTTACGCCCAAGACTCATATTGAGTGTGGGTATGCTTCCCCTGAAAGACGATGTCTTCGTTTAGAGAAGTCCACAACATATTTGGAAGATGGATCCGTAATAATAGTCCATCGGTGTTCACTGTCCCTTTGACTTCCCTCTCCGGCAAACCAATTGAGCCCTTCATCCGTCCGGGATCGTTTCATTGGCTCAAGTTTCTATTGAAGAAAATTATAGCAGCAAATACATCTCTTTGGTTCCATATCAATTAGTTCTAGCATCTCATTGTTGAGGCACAATACTAATACAAACGGTACTACGACTTTTAGTGAAAGGCGAGCGCGTGGCGTATGCAGAGAAAGAATCGGTTGTTTTGAAAAAAAAACGGAAGTCGGATTGAGTTCATTGCAAATTTCTTGGCTCAGTTTTTAGTCAGATTTGAAATGACCTGGTAGCTTGAATGAAATACTTCCACTGGGGAATCGCGTTGTAATAAATCTACTAAACTTCTTCTCCCGACTTTATTTCATATGGGCACGACACAATCAATCTTTCGTACCTGTTAGGACTTAAGTACTACCACACAAACTGGTAATGTGTTGGGAACCAGTGAACGTCTTTACTTCTTAGGCTCTCATCTTTTACAGCGAGGAGGAGCAATGCCATAGTCAACTGTATGGTGTTACATATACTAGTGTTCTATTGTAATCGGATGCAATGGAATGAATGAATGTAATTAAGATGTTCATTCTTGTGACAGTCCGGGTTTCTTGATGCTCGTTGGGAAAGGTGAGCAGTGAGCGAAAAAGTGTCTCTGTCACAAGAACATCTGCTGCATCGCTATCTTTTCCATAGTACTAATTTGCTGGCTCCTTTCAGGTGTCCAGCAAGACCTCGCCGTACTCGTGTAATTTGCAAATGTACAATATCCCTCCATCAGAAGAGATAAGTATCGAGGAGTTTGATGAAATTGCCATAGAACGAGTTAAAGCGCTCAAGGTAATTTGGTTCTTCTGAACAGTTCTTGGCACTAACGTAGTGGGGGAGAGGGTAGAGATCAATCTGCAGTACCTCGCTGTTACTTCCCCTAACCAAAGTTTGAGATTAGCGGAAAACATCTCTCTTCTTCTGCGAGGTGATACCTCGGCAACTCTGGTCCTCTGTGCTCTACGTCGTACGTCAAAGTCTTTGTCGGGGGAAGTGACTCAAGGGCGCGGCCGAACGGTCTCATCCCTCCCTCCTCCCCTCCCCATTCCCTCAACCGCGTTAGCGCCAGTTCTTCAAGGCTGCTGGAGAGCACCAATAACTAAACAGTTTCTGAATTGTCATGTTATAATTTTCAGGTTGTAGAGGATGTTAAGGAACGGTACACGTGGGGTAGTGACGAGTTCAAATCAGCAATGATTAGGGAGCTTTCCAAACATATGCCCATCGCTGCAGGTATGGTGAAGCTCTGTTATCGAAAATTTGTATAAAAAACTTTGTAACTCTATTTGTTATCCCCTACATCATATCTTTCTTGCTCTCCATTGGTCTATCCTATTGTTGGCACAGTTCGGCTTGCCGGGCACTAAGTAGTATTCTGCGATGCTTGTACAGGCCGCCCCGTGAGGATTTGTCAAATTAAATTATTTAACATGAAAAAGGAACTAGCGAAGGTGCCCTCAAGTCGAACAGCGCGCTATAGTCCCTATCAAAGTTTACCCTCAGTCTGATCACCGCAGCGAGAAAACTTCCCTTCAATGCGTAGGTTAAGCGAAGTGGTTGAGTTGTACTGCTCTTATGAAGCTGTGGATCCTTTAATGTCTAACATCGAATTTCTTCAGAGGGTGCGAGCAGAATCTGCGTTCGTCCCTGTTTCGAGCCAAAGCAGTCCAGCAGATACTCTTTCCTCAGGAAACGTTTATTGTTCTGACAGCTTCCATGAGTAAGCCCGGCAATCCGACGGCTGTTTTGATGTTGCTCATGCTCCCACAGGGTCCAAGTATTAACCACTATACATCATGTCTTCGATTCTTCTCCACAGAACTGCAGTGTCTCGAGAGAACTCCAGGCGTCGTCGCTTCTCAGCGCGAAGGATAACTACAACCGAATGATGAACTTGCCAGTGCAGAGCTTCATGGCTCTGAGTCGATGGTGGAAGTGCCGGGTAGACGGGTTGAACTTGAAGTAGGATGTCTTAGTTTTGCTCGCTAGGAGCAGGATAGGATGTAAGTTGTGAAACAAGAGGAATAAACGAGTTGGTGCCAAGGCTTCGAATCGCAAGGGTTGGAAATAAAGTGAGACTTCATTATGGTGCAAACTGCTCCCTAAGTTCATAAGGCCTTCATTATGCAGCTAGTTGTGCTAATCACTCAAGTATAATGTGCCATTCCTAGGATGTTCCCCTCTCGGAAAAATGGAATAACTTCAGGAACATGTCTTCCTGCGGATGTTGAACGAGCCCGCAGAAGAGATGTGATTGGTCATTTTATCCTGCGACTTGCCTTTTGTCGCTCACCGGAATCCACAAAATGGCTTGTCACTCAAGAAGTGGATCTCTTCAGGTATCCTCTATAAATCTGCAATTTGTTTAGTTTGAACAGTAAGTGGTGCATACACGGGCCTTTTATACATTTACCCTTTTATGTGCAGGTTCCGTTTCGTGGAGGAGACTAGAACAAATATACTCGCTTTTCTGAAGCAGAATAATGTTAATCTGGATGTGGTAAGTAAAAACAAAGTACTGAAACCTATAACTATCTGGAATCAATGATATCTTCAGATAGACAAAGCTGAACAAGAGGAACTAATGGCTGACCTAGCTGCTGGTTGTGGTATCAGCATAGATCAAGCCAGCAAGACTGACTTCTGGAAGGTTTGTCTTTTATTCTCAGCCATGGTATCAAAGGCTATATTGTGATTTCAGGTGGATTTCACTGCAGCGCTTGATCTCGTTCGCCGTCGGCGTGCACTGGTACGCCGTGGTTTTGCTTATATCCAATTTAATGATCTAGTGGTGATCACCAGCGCAGCTCTACGAGCAAATATGACTGCAGCTATGGCGGTAAGTACCGCATTGTAATCATTTATGTCATGAGTTCAGTTACCCCATGATCCTTGTCCACCAGGCACTTGCATATGTGATTTTTCTCTCCTGGTGAGTTGTAAATAAGCAGTAAGATCATTTGGATTGTCGCATTACGGTCACTAGCAGAGCCCGGCTCAGTGCAGCGCTAGAATTTTTGACCGTCGCTACTGCACAGGCCTCCAAATAATATTCGTAGGCCATAAAGTGTGTTGGTGAACTTGAACTCTCAGCTCGTTGATCTGCAGTGCGTGTTTTGTTTCCAAAACTTCTGTTCAAATCCGCTAATCATCTCTCCAGCATATCACAAGTTCTGGGCGGTAGCCGGACATGGGACAAGAAAACTGGATTTGAGCAGAAACGGACCAGATTACGGGCAACCTAACATGTCAGCGGCCTACTTCAAAGGTAGTGTACGATGGCAAAACGAGGGCAGTGACATTCACATATGAAAGAGGACGCACTAATTGATGCGTTGGGAAAGGCAGCGTTCATAGTTCGCGACATCGGCGATTGTGCAATCGCTCACCTTCCGAAATGCAAGATCGGTATATGTATACTATATATCTAGTTACCATATATAGTATATATGTGACTATTTATCCAGTTCTCAGCGATTGCGCGAGCACAAGCATTGCGTGATTGCCAATGTCGCGAACTATGAACGCTGCTAAAGATGATGTGAAAATGACGTTGAGATTGCCCGATAAGAGTACGCGTTCGGTTGTTCTTGCTAGAGTTTTTGCTCGATGACAACCATACTAGCTTTTCTACTGGTACTTTACCACCTGCTCCTTATGATTCCTTGTCTTGTGCTGTGTTAACAAAGTGAATCGCGGTTGTAAAGTAGGCAGGGATCCTATGCCTAGGACAGTGGAGGACAACGTACGTCGCGAGACCATATCGCACTTTTTCAACATTTCCGAAACACGAAAACAATACCCTTTTGGTTAGTAGGTGGTGGACCTGAACAAACATCTTATCTGAGGGAGAAGGTCTATCTATTAGATAATTGTACCCTGTGGCTTCAACTTGTCGACATGCTCGGTTTTGACAAGTTAAATGTTGGAAATCCAAGAAGGGTTTTGTGGTAGCTATCTCAAGTACACGTTTACACTGCACAAAAACGCGGTCTGATTAAAAACAAAAGCCCATGTTTTAACTTTTTTTTTCTCGGGGGGGTGCATATTTAGTGTGGCTCGTTCTGCATAATTGTGTGTGAAGCCGGCTCGTTCTGCATTTTGAGAAGCAGTAAAGCTTTGTGGACATTGATTGATGAAGTGACAAGTTACTCGTCGAAGGTGTTTTCCTACTTTACTGCATTATGCACTATTCACTACTTTACAGCGTGCGTTCAAGCATCTTGCAATCGTGGAAGAAGAAAGTCGACTCCTTCCGAGACTTGCACGCTTGAGCAATCATGCTTACAGTGGGAAACAGTATGCAGGAAAGGAAAACGACGGTAAAATTACCCGGCAAATGATTGATCAGGTATTTAAGGGATTTGTGCTCCAACGAATAATCAAATCTCCACATTTCTTTTCAGTTGTGTGTACCATCTTTCCCATTATGTATGCGGCAGTGTCACACTCGATTACGGGCCGATCATCATTTGAGGCATGGAGCAAGACGGTGAGATCTTGCGCTTGTCTTGAATTCGGTAAACGCAAACAGTATCTCAACAGACATTTAACAATTTCGCGCTTTCCTAAACTGATTTTGACGGGTTTTTCAAGTTTGGTATTGTTTCTGGTAATGGTGTGTATGTGAGGCGGAGGTCGTATAGTGGCAAGTGGCACGCTTACCATGCGTGCGGTACAGGGTCCATTCCCGGCTCGGCTCCCGTAACCAAGCCTTCTAACCCCCGGGGACGGTAAATTGGTACCAGATTCCGTCTGGGAGGATAAACACTGACTTGTACATCGGCTGGCCCCCGCAAGTCATTGTATAGGCCACATCGCATTCAATAAGCCACTACGATTCTGAATGGAAGTAGAATGCGTGCCGCATCTGAAAAGGGATTGGTCGATAGCGAAGACTTTATCCTTTTAGTCCTGCAGTTTGTAACTGTTCAAAATAAGTGGGTTATATTTTCTTACACTGCATTTTTGTACGGTTTGAAATTAGTTAGGTTGCTCTTGCGCTCACTTCTCCAACTACCGTTCCATGTGTTAATCACCCTAACGTGAATTTTCAGGCAATACGGTCTCTTCCTGAAAGGAATCGGCTTGTCTCTGGACGAAGCGTTGATGTTCATGCGTGAGGAGTTTACGAAAGAAGATCGACTCTGACAAGGTTCTGTAGGTTTCTTAGCCCTTCAATCCGTTATGGATTTTTCGGTTCTCTCATATAAGGTGAAAATGTTTAGTTCGAGAAGCAGTATGCCTACAATATTCGTCATATGTATGGAAAAGAAGGTCGCCGTGTAGAATATCCTGCCTTTCCATGTTCCACAATCATTTTGAGTAATCCACCAGCTGCAGGAGATTGTCATGGTACAGTTTTCTTTGCCATCTCGATTGTTCTGCTCTTATTTGTAAACATTCGTTTAGGTTGTCCCTTCAAACACCAGGACCATCAGCTGCTTGCCCAACGGTTAGAGAAAGATGGATTGAATAGGGAACAAATAAACCAGGTACGTATTGGTTGCTGAGTATCTTCGTTGATATGTTTCCTACTCTGTATCCTGCTAGAATTTGTAATTTTTACCATCGGCTTACTTTGTAGCTACGTCACAGATCTGACCATGATCTTCTAAGGTGAGATTGGAGCGTAGGACCTACAAGGCGCCTAGTTATGAGACATACCGTGTTGTGGGTTTTTCCTACTACGACTCCCTTCCCAGCAGGTTCTCTTTCGTTCAAACTCTCTTCGCAACCTGCACCTTCCCTTACCAACTTTTCTCGAAATTTTGCCGTTGACCGTTTGGTGGAGGTAGGAGAAGCGACATTTGAAAAAAAAGTCCTCAAGGCTCAATATGAGCTCTGCAACAGATAAATACAATTTCCTTGTGTACTCACAACGATGCTGTGCCCTGGCTCTCGCGTAGACGTTTTGGCCACAAGCTGGCATATGACGATAGTTGCACCTACTTTGTAGTACAAGGGAACATACGAGCGCTGACTTCTGAAATAATCAAAAAGTCTTTCAGATAATAAACTACTCAAAAGTGAATGCATTCGATAAAGGCTTGTACGCGCCACTTCGAATACTTGCATAAAATGGAAGGAAGGCGCACTGGGACAGTTGATAACGCATCCGAATCATTACTTCGAATTGTCGCAAGAGGTTAGTTCGTATTATATCACCTCTTTGAGCTATCAGTGACGACTGGAGAAATACGCCTTCAACCGGCTGAGTCCTTGACGTTTTTAAGCACGGCTGGTTGGATAGAGTTTGCACATCGGCCTTCTATGCAGAGCCCTCATGCTCAGCCGCCATTTTGAACCTTGCTATAAATAATCTCTGATAGGGGCTCGTTATTCCTTAGAATTTTAATGATATGAGCTGGGAAGGTCACTGACCCCAATTAACCTGTTTGTGTAAGATCTGCTCCCTTGTTCGATGGACACACCCATATCTCCCACATAAATATCATTCATAAGCATTCAAGCATTCATTTGACAATATGATTCAGGTTCTGAGTGGAGCACGTTCTAAGAGCAATCACCTGATTCAGTCGCACAGCTCACAAATGCCTGCACAGATGGTCAAGAAGGAGGAGGACTTTTCGGATAGCGAACAATAAAGCTTGAAAGACTTATTGAACTGCCTTCTGAGATATTATGCGTTTCATCTTTTCTTCTCGTTATTCATTATCACTTCCCCAGTGATGTACTATTTCACTTACACTTTATATACTTTTATATCATACAAGACAACTTTATATACTACTACACTACATTTGTAATGTATTTAATATTTATGAAGTCACTCATTTCAAGGAGCTAGTACTTTCCTATCCTGAATTTCACTTTTCTAACTTTTTCACTGCCTCTGCACTCTGATCTCCAAAACTGATGGACGCACTTTGTTGTTGCGAATCTTTCTCTGTTTGAATGGTGTTTTTCTTGGTAAATTATGAACTTTTGATAAATTCCTCGCGAACAACTTCAGCAGCTGACAGCTGGAAGCTTTTTATATACCTAACGCATACAATCATCAATATAAAATCAAGGGCCAGAGCGGGCGGGAGTGAAGACGGCTGCTTCGCCACAGTTAAATTCAGCTCTTTGGGAAAGGGGGCGTTTTGCGAACTCCTGTAGACGCCAGGCGGCGCGGCTGGCTGCAGATGGGATTTCTCCTATGTCAAAGTGGTCGCGATCGGCTATCGGATAAAATATTTTCAAAAAAATGATGGCAGTCTAGGCCAGTCCTTCAATATGAAAAACTCGCTCGCTCACAGTTACTTGTTCTTTGTGAGGTCTTATTACTCATAAGCTCACACCCACCCAATTCCAAAGATGTGTTAAAACATTCAAATGTCGTTGACATTGTTGATCAAAAGAAAACGAGCTAGATATAATGCACTGCGTAAGGGCTCGAGAACTAAGAAAAACAGGAAAAGTTTGAACAGGAATGCTTTATTATGTTCCTTTTTGGGAGGTGATGTGCTCGTCAGCGATATCCCTATCCTTATTAGAGAATACTTTACCGATGTACAGTTGATAAAGTTGCAGTTACTGTGACGGTTTCAAGTGGGATGTATTGAGCCGACCTGCGGCGTTTCCATCACTTGTTTTCTTCCTAGGTCGATCACCAACCAAGCACTATTAGTACAGCAATGCAGGCGAAGGCGGGTTCGTTCCCATTCCGACCGATCCTCCCCCCCCCCCCCCTCCGGCGCCACCCCGACTGGTTGTGATATTAACTTGTATCACCAGTCTTCCCCTTGATCACCGGCTTGCTTGAGAGGGTGTCAGTAACGTCTCCATTCGTCCCTGCAAGAATTGCCCAATGGGTTGTCTAAGCTTCGAAGTACACGTTGACCATCGTCACGCTCGTTTTTCACGAAGAAGTCTGACCATCGCGTAGGCGGTCGTCCAGGTGTTCGCTTGACATCCCGTGGAATCCAGTCGGTAATCGCTCTGGTCCAGCGGTCGTCCTTCGAAACGCATGACGTGTCCGGCCCACCTGATCTTCGAAACCTTGGCAAATGCGGCGGCGTCTCTGATCTTCGATCGTCGGCGGAGTGCGGAGCTCCGGATTCCCTCTCTCACTTGCGTGTAGCGGGGAAAGCATCGCCCTTTCGATGGCGCGTTGAATAACGCCAACCGCATGCTCATCCTGCTTTCGTAGAGTCCAAGTCTCTGAGGCGTACGTCAAGGCAGGAAGGACCGCGGAATCGAAGAGGTGGGCACGGAGCTTGGTGTTCTTCGTCTTCTTCGCTACTCCCTCGATGTTCTTGAAGGCTCCCCAAGCCGCTCGCTTCCTCCTGCTCAGCTCTGGTGTTTTCATTCATCATATTGATTTCCATTGAGCGGGAGTGGGGCATCAGAAACCAATCCGTTCCTCATGGACATCGTCTTCGACAGATTCAACTGCGAGCCAAATTTTCCGCACGTGCGGTCGAAATCAGCCAGCATTCGTTCTGCTTAGGTTTGGTGTTATCAGAACGTTACCGTCAGCAAAGCGGAGATGCTGTCTCTCATCACCACCATGTCTTCCATTCCAGTTGACGCATGACGTTCTCGAGAGAGGCGCTGAAGAGCTTGGGCGAGATGGTGTCGCCTCTGTCGGACCCCTCTCTTCACGTCGATGATGATCTCCTTGTAGAATGGTGAGATCTTGGTCGTGAAGTTGCTGTAGAGCTCACGAAGAATCCTGATGTACTGAGTAGGAATACCCTGGTTGCCCAGGGCTTCGATAACCGCTTCTGTCTCAACGGAGTCGAAGGCTTTCTTCAAGTCGATGAACGTGAGACATAGCGGCATCTTGTACTCTCGCGATACTTCAATGAGCTTCGTTACCGTGTGGATGTGATCGATCGTGCTGAATCCTCCGAAAACCTGCTTGCTCGCATGGCTGTCCTTCGTCTATCAGACAAAGGGCAGTCATGCGAGCAATGTAAAGGGCCTGTAGACTAACAGCAGGCAGATTGGGCGATAATTGCCAATGTCGTACAGGTCTCCCTTCTTGTACAGCAACACAGTCTTGCTGGTTTTCCACGAGGTGGGTACCTTGCATTCCGACAGGTAGCGCGTGGAGTAGAGCCAGAGTTTTGACGAGAACTGGTGGAAGATTTCTCAGATGTTCGGGTCGGCTCTCTCAGGACCGGGTGCTGTACGGTTATTCACCGATGAGATGGTGTGTCGGACTTCGGAAGGAAGAACCGAGAGCACGACGCAACCTGCTCCAAACGGTGCGATGGCAAGAGGACATGGCTGTCAAAGAGATCAGAGTAGAAGTCGTGGATGACCTTCTCCATTGCCCTTCTGGATGCGGTGATTGTTCT